CCTGGACGGTGCGGGCTCTCTCCTCCTCTGTGTTTTGGGGGCTTAAGCATTGCGGAGTGGAGGAGGCTTTCCATGGCTTTCCTCTTCTCAGAGGGGCTCTGCAGCTTGCAGAGGCCTAGATTTGAGCCTCCTCCACAAAAAAAATAACAAGAAGAACCTGCAAAACACCTAAACACTCCTACTGCTGGTCGACCCCTACTGCTAGAAATGGCTAACCCCAGCTCAGCCCTTCACTGACTCCGCCCTTTCCACTTCTTGGAAAAGAAGGTTCGCTCGGTCGCGCAGTCGGCCATCACCGGTGGCAGGTTCTTGTTCTGGTTCATGGAAAAGGGGCCGGGTGCAACGTTCGCCACGAGGACCGCGAGGTCCAAACGTTCACTACTCCAGGTCAACAGCTCGACCGCTTCGTCGGGGTTCCAATCCCCTAAGACTTGGTGATCAAGGCAAAGGATTCCATGGACTTCCTCCCCACCAGGAGCACTGGAAGGAACTGGGTGGATGTCTTTTCTTCCTGCCAACAGAGGTTAAGTGACCTGAACTAGGACCCGTAACCCAGGATACGCCACTGGGATAGTCGAACTAGGGCCTATAGGGTTCTTCAACCTCTATTGGTGATGGGTCGGTTTCAGTGCCCAGCGCACACTCCACGTCTCCGCGTCTCTTCCCGCTCTGCGTACCCCGCCTCGGATCTTCAAGCGTCGTGGGACGGTGCCCGCCTGGCGACGTGTGGATGCGGAGAGCGAACACCCAAACACCGAGCGAAAGCAACGACGACCTGACCAGTCGTAGTGACCTCGGAGTCTGTGACCTCTTGAGGGACGATTCGTGACCGACCCGCCACTAGGATCTCAAGGACGGTCACTTGGAAGGTCTTGGTACCTGGGGCCTCCATGTCGGAGACCTGTTGGAAGGTGCTCGGTATATAGACCTGGGGTCTTCCACCTATGCAACACATCTGTCTTTTCATTCAAACAAACAGCCAAAAAGGCACATCTGTGGCCTACTTGGAAGATCCACATGGCGGTCGTCTGGGACTCCTTCGTCCTGCTGCGTCCTCCGTCGGCACCTCCGGAAAGGGCCAGGACCACACCTCTCGCGTTCCTACGGCATCGAAGGCCGGATCGCTCTCCTCAGGGCGGGGCTCAATGATTCGTGTGAAAAGAACACCATCAATTCCAAGTGAGCCCAGTGCATTTGAGTTACCACTATATATATATAAAGGAACCAGAGGGATTCTAGGTCTATGGTTCTAGTCTTTGGAACCACTGGTTACCAGCGACATCGTGGTAACTGGATGCCCTGGGGAGTGGAAGTGTTTCTACAAATGGCTGAGATACGAGTTACTGGACCCATAAATATCCGATCACCGTATTACCGTGTAGCGTATGTTTCTATGGAACAGTGTATGCAACATCAATTCCATTCGGTGTTCTGAGGCTACTCTATGGACGCAGGTGCACATCAACGAACCCGGATCAAATGTTGAGTTCAACAGGAGCCGTTGAATGACCTACAACCACTGCAGGAAGTTGATTGCATGAGTGAACTCATCATTCTGAGCAACCTCTGTGCTGATGGTCATCACCGATCAGATCAGCTTTCGCTTTTCCGAAATCCATGATGTGAAATAAGGGAACACCCACACACTCATGGGCTCTCATATGGAAGGGTCGGACCCTCATATGGAGGGGTCTGTGGTCTCAAATCCCTAGGTTTTCAGGGACCAAGGGCTGTTGTTTGGAGCGTCTGGGCAGTACGAAATCTGCAACTCTTACACACCGAGTCTAGTCGCCCCAGTCTCAGACTCTTCTTCGTCCACAACACATCGCCTCTTGGCTGAGTCCAACGTCGGGCCCCAGATCAAACATCACGTGCGCCGGCCCAATTTTTGCCGAACAGTACGACCAAACGGTGACTAACAGGACAAACCCTTGTGCTTTCGGTCTTTGTCCAGTTGATTTCTGCCTGATTTGAAGAACTCATGTGGTTCCTTCACCGGTGTTGTTGTTTCTTTTTCCGCTGCACGGATGCTTTTTGGCTCTTTGGCCAGCCACTTGCTTGGATAAGCTTGGTATCTTAGAAGAGGGACGACTTTAAACGCTTCCAAGGTGAAGCTACCCTTTCGGCAGCTCTCCTCTGTCTGGAGTGGGGACCCTTCGGGCAACCAAGTAGATCGACTCTTGTGGCGCAAACATGGCATCCCCGCCCTCCACTCCTCGCATGAAGTGTCCCGTCTCTAGAAGTTGGAGCTTCCCCTGTTCAATCATCATATCCACCATATCTCGATAGCCATGCTTCTCACCTTTCTTCCACAAATAGGAGCGCATGGCCGTAATGAAATAGCCTCCCTCCTTCAATGCATTTACACAGTCTGTGATCGCCTTAGCCGGCATGTGGTTTGGCACCCAAACACCATGAGCAGTCACCAGGTCATATCGTCCCAAACGCTCCCTTGGCAGCATTCTCTCCCCCAAGTAGAAGGACTCGCAGCTGCGATAATGACCACGCCGCGTGGCTTCTGACACAAACTGCTCTGAGGCATCCATACCATCAATCTCTCGAAAGCCCTGCTCATGGAGCAATCTGCCCATGAGGCCTGTTCCACAACCTGGGATTTGCTGAAGAAAACCACAGTAAAGAGTTATATAACACAAATTAACCTGCTACATCCTACTACAAATTCTCCAGAAGTGGATACACCGAAGGGAAACATATGAAACAAAGCGTCTGGAAGCGTCAACCCAGCGGCCCACATCATAAATTTCACTGGAAGCATCAAGGCCAGGTTGCTCAAGGATCTTTGCAAGAATATGGTCGCTCTCAGTGCAATTCACCATTCGTACCATTTCGTCATATGCCTCTGGATCCATTGAATTATAAAAGGATCCTATCTTTTCCGTGGGCATTGATCGAAATCGCTCCATCAAAGCTTTTGCGTCTTGCGCCAGGCTCGACATTTGGAACCGCTTTGCAGAAACAAAGGACCGAGAACTGAGAGCTATGCTGCAAGTACTCTACTGCAGTTGTGGAGGCCATCGCTAGTAGGTTCGAGGCCATCGCTCTTAGGTTGGAGGCCATTGCTGTTAGGAAACAAAGGACCGAGAACTGAGAGCTGTGCTGCAAGTACTCTAGTACAGCTAGGGCTGATAAAACAGGTTACCAAATGGCATGCACCCAACGGCACAATATGTTTCAGAAAAAGTTGTGCTTTGAGATTTCAGGTTAAGTTTTACAGAACAAACGCAACAGTGCCTTGGCGAAACAACTTAAATTCCAAAGACGTGCTGCTTGTCCTGCATCTGGAGCCAACGTGCTTCTTGCAGAATCTATTTGGACATGATGCACCCTGCAAGAGAACCAACACTGTGAAATCTGCTAGGACATGTGTAATCATATTGTTCTGTCTTGTGGTGGGCGGGGGAAAGCAAACATAACAACCCTTTTCATCCCATTCCCAAACCAACAGTGAGAGAACAGACTGGAAGAAGCCAACTGTGGCAGGTTTGTCGCTCGTCATAGAAGATGCCACACTTCCACTTTCAACTGTCCCATGAACTGTCACCATGACTTCAGTGAGGATGTACTGAGAAAGAAAAACACCTATACAACTTAAACAAACAAGAACTATCAACAATTGCTTTCTCAGACTTCATCTTCCGATCCTTCAGTCGAATCTTCAAGTACAGCGCAGCCCTTTTGCTCCGACTGGGCGCTGAAAACGAAAGGCCTGTGCCTTGCAGTTCTGATCCAGCTGGATCTGGCTGTTCCTTGTGACGCTCCTTTGAGCAGGCACTAGGTTTAAACTCACTGAGCCAATTCGATTAATCAAAGTAGATTTAGAAAACAAACAACATATTGGATCACAGGAACTGGAGATCACCTGTTGGCTTTGTGAATATCCGTGTGAATCTCTCTGAATTCCCACACTCCAATAGCTATAGGATATGATGATCAGATAGGCAGAGCGGCCGCTAGGCAAACAAGGATGGTCCGCCACTCAGCTGTTGAAAGAAAGAAGAATTCCCACACTATCTCTGCCACGGATGCTGTCGCACAGATCTCGACGTCCCTTCCTTCGCTCGAGCCGAGGCCAGCGGCGCGGTGGTGGCTGTGTGCGGTGGCGGAGCGGTGCGTTGATGCGCCAGGGCCAGCTTATGCCCTCTCCGATCCAAACCTTGAAGACGGTGAAAGAGGTGAAAGGTTAGTTTCAAAGGAGAACATCTTCCACATCTTCCCCTGTTTCGTAGGACCCAGCGAAAGGGGATGAGAAATCATCCGTTAAAAGCAAAAACAGGAAAGAACATGGGGGGGGTGGGTCTCATGAAAACTATCCTTTTCCAGAGAAACCAGGACACCTTCTATGCTGGCCTGATGGAACTTGGCACTCTTCGTCGCTGTGCCGTCCAGGGAACGCTTGCTGCTGGCCGTGGGGGTGGTTTTACTGAGTCCTTGAAGCGCAGGATCTGCATCTTGATTTTGCTTTTCGGGGGGCGCAATCAGAGCCTAATAGCAAAAGGACGCTACGAACGGAGCAACTAGGGCATCGCTACTAGGAGCAAGGACGCTACTAGGGGTCCTGGCCTTACTACTAGGAGCAAGAAGCTACTAGGAGCAAAGGGCATCGCTACTAGGAGCGAGGACGCTACAAACGTAGCTCCTGGCCTTACTACTAGAAGAAAAAGCTACTAGTAGGCTACTAGGACCTAATAGCGATGGCCTCCAACCTAATAGCGCTGGCCTCCAACCTAGAAGCAATACCCTCCAACCTAATAGCGATGGCCTCAAACCTGCTAGCGATGGCCTCCAACCTACTAGCGATGGCCTCCGACCTACTAGGGATTAATCTTTCGTTCTTTCTTAGGAACATGTTCTAAGATGTGCTCGTGCGTTGGTTCATCTCACGTATAGCCATGTACATGCCTCTGAGACCATTCACGCCTCTGCCGCACCTTATCCTACAGCTTCTATTCATTAGCGATTTACTCGTGTAGTGTATTGTGGTGTCCTTGAAAGACGTTAGAAAGCAACCGAAAAAGGATCAAAGATTGAGGATTCCCTATTGCAGCAAATGATAACTGACAATTGATGACTTACAAACATGCTCGTTTACTGAGTAAACATGATTCGTACAAATCCAGAACTACCAACCTCTGTCCTGTGGAGAGTCCCTTGGTTTTTGGACTGGTCATCTTTGGGCTGCCCAACAAGCAGGGTGATCGAGGCTGCCACTGTGCTCGCGTTGGAGGCGGCTTGGTCTGTTTTTCCTCTGTGATGGTCTCTACCCGCGGCTCCTACACAGGGCTGAGACCCTCGAAAACTCGCGGACCCTGATGCAAACTGATGCAAAGTTACAAAACCTCTCCGGAAGTCCCAAAACCGCACCCTCAATGAGCCTCAACCCGGATACCACGGTCAGCGGTGTCAGCGCAATTCTCTCATGTTGGTTGATCATACTCTACGTAGAGACGCTCCAAGTACCTCCCAAAACAGGTGCAAGTACCTACGAACAGTATCGAATATAGACCAAATATCATAAAATAACAGGAGTATAATAAGGCCATAGAACTGGAGACTTCAAGCAATTCTCTCCTTCTTGGCACCCCAAAAAAAACCTCCCTCATCCCCCCACGGTGTAATTTGTCTCTCCTTCTCAGGCTCTGAGTCGTGCCTTCTCCGCCCAAGACCTTCAATCACCGGAGGTGACCGTTCGGCCACCAATGCACCTCCTTCGCGCACGGCCTGCGCGGCCAGGTGAATAGGTGAAGAAACAGCACTGAGTGGAGGGTTGGGAACAGGACCTAGGTAGAAAACGATCGGAAGAGAGGTGTTTTGTGACCTTAAAAAATATAGGACATTATAGGACCATATGATCTGGGCTAGTCTATGGGATAGTCAAACTAGGGCTCTGAAAACCTGTTGAGTCTAATTATATCGAGCTGCATGACACAGAATTTCCGCCAATCATGTCAACTCAACAAAAGGATAGACCGATAGACCCTGAGTCTGGATAGATCCAGTCATCAAGTCCTTCGTGCTTTGTGTCCTTGTCTTGCTCTAAAGATCCGGACTGCTTTTTCGTCTCATCTGTTCGTCTTCTCTCCTGCGCCTCGTCTTCGGGCAATTTCTCCTCGCTCTCCGCTCGCCTCACCTGGTAGCGCATCGCTACATATTCCCGGGAGAGGAAGTTCAAGCAGCGCTCCACCTGAAGCCGGACCGCAATTTGTGTCGCGTAGACTACGGCCCCGTTTTTTGGCCCCTTGCATGTTGTCAGAAAAGGATATAGGATAGGCATGTGAATTTGGACGGGTGGTTTTGGGATCTACGGACGTTCTCAAACAGGGCTTGTTTGTGCCATAGCTTGATCGAGGCAACTTGGGGTTTGGAGTTGAACCAGTGCGCCTCCTCGCTGTTCAAGGATGTCTCTTGCGAATGCCTCAGGAACTTCCGCTGCCCCAAAACTGTCATGATGGCTGAGAACACACTGGTACAACAACATCTGACATGTAAACTTGCATATAACTATATATACTATAAACATCTATAAACTATATAGCTACAGTATATTTGTATTATACCGCATGATATGAGTAGTTGTCTATAAGGTAGAGATTGTTTCAAAAAGGACAACTGATTCCAGAAGTCCTTGCTTTGCCAACTAAGATGCTGCTCCAATGTGAGGATTCGATGTCGCTGCATGCTCAAGAGCTTCGCAATACTCTCGCTGTGTCCACAAGCAAGCGCCAGTTTCTCTGCCCACAAGGAGGCTTTGGCGTCAGTGTCTAGGGTCATGGTCACCCAAGATGCTTGATTTCGACTCAGTATCACGAGCGATCCTTAGGCAACAAGCTGGGCTCTGACGTCAGCTGTTTCAGTGTTTGGCGGTTGCAACGAAGCACATCCTCCACATTCAACAGGTACAAATGCCAGAAAGATTAAAACTGATTGAACATATCGAACAAGAACTTCACGCTTCTGCGATGTGGATCCGTGGGAGATCTTTTTAAGTTCTTTCTCCGAAGGACAAGAGCGTTCGAATCTGTGATCATTGGATTCGTTTACCCTCCCTGACAATCATGAACGCCGCGGATGGCATCGTGCCTGGAAAAAGCATGAATTCTCCGATTTACCAACCCAGACGGTTCGGAAACAGAAAAACGATCCTTCCGCGGAACCCGTCCTCCCGCGGACGATGACATCCCAGGAGCCATGACAGCGCACCGCTGCGCCCGATAGGTTCAACTCCAAGACTTCAGCGCTTCCCTCCGCGAGGATGGCTTCCCCATCCGCCTCCCTCCGCGCGGTCTCGTGTCGACGAATCAGAAGGAGATCCCCGCGCAGGCGCACGGAGCAAGGGGCCTGACGCACGAGGACGAGGCGACGACGAAGAACGCGAAGAGAAGGGAGGACGAGGATGTCTCGATGGTCTGAAAGCCTCAAACGTGATGAAATGTTCCAACAGCATCTGGGTCGACATTGAATTGGACCCTGTTATTGCATCATGTGGATGTTCGTGTATATTCTTGGCGTCGAGTCTTTCTGCACCAAACAATAGCATGCCCCGACAAAAATGAAGAACTCGGCCAGAAGCAACCATACAGATTGCAAATTATTTGCAAAGCTCACCACCCAGACCATCCACAATCACATGGAATAGAGAGACTTATTATACATATTATGTAACACAATCTTACGTATATTATAGGGATGATGAGGGTCATATATTAAAAATGATGCAAACTATTTCATGCATGGATAGTCTGGCTCAGTTCATCCCTGATCACGCCATGCCTCCCAGCCTCCACGCCATGCCTGGGCACTGAGCAAAAGGCATCGCTGGACAAAGTGTCCTGACAGAAATCCCGTTCAAAGCAAGAAAAGAAACTACTAGTAACACGGGCATCGCTAGTAGTAATGCCCTTAGTTACTAGTAGCGATGCCCTTGTTACTATAGGAGCTTCTTGTCACTTCGTTCAAAGCAGGAAAGCCGAAACTGGGTGAAGCACCTGACCCAGTTGCGGCCATTTTTGGTTTGATATGCGGCCTTGCTTCAGGGTCGAAGCATGAGTCTACCTGGAGAGTCGGTGCGTACCTCGGAAAATGGGTACAAGAATACGTTCTCAGGTCATGTCCATTTTCTCAGGTATACTTGAAGATTATGAAGGAATGCTGTTTCTTGGAGACAGGGCTCATTTCTTAAGAAAAGGTTCCCCCTCCGACTGCAAGATGTGATGCCAACCAGAAAGAAGAAACACACCCCTCCATCTCCGTCAGCTCCTTCGTGTGGACCTCCCGGCGGGAGTCTCGACTGCGCTGCGCCTGCAGGGAGCGTTGCTTGGCCGTCTCACGGAGGGATGCCACGGTCGAAGCCCAACACCTGGTCGCGCGGTCGCGTGGTGCGTTGCGTGGTGCGTTTGGTGGAGCGTTTGAGGCCGTGTGGTGTTGGAAGCATCTCTTGGGGTCTCTTAAGGGGTTGGTGTTCGGACACTCAGCTAGAATTTTGTAGAATTCACAAGTCGCAGAATCGTCTTCAATTGCCAACTGTTTTGGAATATGTTCCATAGTAATATTGTTTAAAAGCCAAACTACCTTTTGCAAAAACTGTTTTCTCCCATGTTGCTATTCAAAACACACACGCACACAAAACCAATAGATATTATCTCTAAAAGAAATGGTCTTTAAGGGACCTGAAAAAAGGAACATGTTCTTTACTTCAGTCGGCGAACAAACATGTGATTTTGGACTTCAGGGTTATAGAACAAAAAAGGCGCAAACAACGACCAATCATTACACAATAATACGACTTGAAGTCATCAAAAAAGAACCAAAAACAACAAACAACCAGGAGTCACAAGACGGGGTGGTGTTTGGTCCCATCCAGTGAGTGGATGTTCTGGGCACCCCGACTACCTCCATAGATAGCACCCCGTCTTGTGACTGCTGGAACATGATGAAATCAAGATAAATCAAGGGGGACAACAAAAAGAAAACTAAGATCTTGGATTTGTTACGAAGAACGTCACATCTTGGGGGACAAAGGGCGGGGCGCTGGGACACAATCCATTGGATTCACTCCCAGGCGCCACAGCAGCGAGGCCACCCAGCGTTCCAGCGTCGCGGTGAGCGTCGGCGCCGTCGCTCCGAAGGCGTTGGGAGGACCGGAGCTCGCATCGGCCATGGCGAGGATCGGGCCGGGCGTTGGGAATGGGGAGGTCCGGATCTGAATGGTGGAAAAAGGTGAGAAACATGTGAGAAAAAACCTATAATTATAGACTATATATATATAACATATATATCTGTTCTATACACATACATATACCATTCCATGTCCATGTCCGTTTAAGTATTGAAGTCAAACCATGCAATTCAAAATAAAGAGAACACACTAAATAAAGACGCTGCAAATGACAGGGATTCTGCTGACGGTTGGTGACGTGGAATGTTTCTTCCTTGTGACAAGGACTATGTTGATGAACAACATTGATTGAGATCCTTTCACACACACACACTCTCCTGAGTTATGGAAGAGAAAGTCACCCAGGTGCCAGCTGATTGAAGGACTGTTGGCACAATATAAGCCATTAGGAACGACCAAAAACAAGTGTCAGCTTAAATTAAACATGTCAATGTATGCTTGGAGTCACAAAGTACATCGGAAAATGGGTATAATGTCACATTTTCTAGGATACTTTGGAGATTCCAGGTACATGTGCCTCTTAGACATTACCAGGATTTGCATTAGACGCGTGTGACTTCTTTCGGACCCCCGCCGCACCACTTGGCATTGCCCCAGTCGACTCGGGCCAAAGACCGCATGAGCGGGAGCGAGCATCGCATTGCATCCACGGACCGGGCTTCGTTCCGAGAGTCCAAGCATGAGGTTGAAAACGATGGAATCCTTCCCCTGAGATACACCCTCGTCCTCTTCTCAAATCAAACAAATTCCCAAGCTGGTGAAAAACTAGTCAGTGGGTGAACAAATTCCTCGTAAAAGTTGAACATCAAAGAACAGATCCAAAACCACCACCTTGCAAGTTCATCCGGGGCACATCCAAGAAGAAGTCCACTTCCCTCATCTCAGAACCTGCTGCCATCCGTGGCGCGTAACGGCCCTGGCGCCACACAGGCACTGGGTCGCCGAAGCCCAAGTTCGTGATCCTCAAAGACGAAGCGAAGTCGGAGGAAGGCATCAAAAAAAGGATACAGTGATGTTGGCCTTAATTTAGTCCCGAGCACCTATTAAAAAACGGGCCCCAATTAAACAAGTCATGTCGGATCTCCTTAAATACGGCTTATCTTTGTTTTTAAACTGCCGCCCTTTCAAGCCGCTACTAAACTACCAACATGGCCGATTTTGATTAGGTTCCAAAAACAACCGTAACTGCCCACCTCTGTCCGCCCTATCTATCCACCATGACACGCCGCGCTTACACCAGCAGGCTTTCCTTCCCCCCATGGCACGGACTCACGCCAACGCACTTGCCACCGAGGTCATGCAACACCGCATGGCACAGCGACATCACCTTTCGAAAGCTTTAGCTGTTAGTCTACTGAAGAATCACTATTCTAATGAAGGTTTTTGTAGGGGAAAAGGAAGACCCTTCGATCTGGAGCTTTTTTGCATTTTTGATACGAGTTTAATAAAGGACTTTATATACAATGTTACTGGATTACTTTTTGGTTTTGAAACTCTTTCCAGGTGACCCTATTTTGGACCTGCCGGATTTCAGGGACCCCCTATTAGAAAAAATGCGACCGAGGTGTCCATATTAGGGGGGGGGCGTGTTTTTTAATAGGTGGACCGGATTATTAGAGGTCCCCAAATGGATATAGAAACAATTCCTAATACATTGTTGAAGGGGCTTGTACATGTTCCTTTGGGGGTAGATATCTCGGCAGTTGATTCATTGAAATTCCACAATTAATGAGTAATCCCCCAGGCCTCGAATCAACTGCCAAGACCAGGAGACCTGAGTCAGGAATGCCAATTGGTGGCCACCGGGGTGTCTATTACCCCGTTTACAGGGCCAACCCCTCTTGGGGTCTCCTGGCATAGACAGTTGATCCATTGAAAGTCATCAATGCCCCCCAGTGGCCCAGGACTCGAGACGCTTTACCAAGGACATGTTTATTGATACTCCAAATCCAAATGATTCATGCCAAACATGTTGTGATATGTTGTGATTCATGTCTTCATCCACACGAGTCGCCAGGCGTATTTTGTGGGTGATGTGGACAGGCAGGATGCCAAATCCGTCCAGCTTGGACGTTACAAAGTTGCACATTCAAACACATCCCGTGAGGTTGGCACCAAGGAGCAGCAGGCCAGCCAAATGGCTGGCCGCAAAAAGGTCTGTGGGGTCTACTAGGGGTTTGAGATCATAAAACCTTCACCTTTGACGGTCCTTGATTCTTAGGCTGGTATGCTTTTGATCTTTGCTTCATGTCGGATTTGGGCGGCTTGTAGTTTGAATGGAGCAGACCCAACGCATACCTTTGCCATGCGCCAAATCTGAGAGGTGCGCTAGCAACTCTTGACTGGCCGACTGGCTCAAGTTGCTATCCTCTCGCAAACATCGTCAGCGTGTTGCAACCACTGCTACCTCCACCCCTGACAATACCCAACGATGGCATCCTGTTTCGCCTCGCCGAATCGTCTCATCACCCGAGTGGCAACAGGTTCACGGGGCCACTGCCTCCCAGCCCTGCCGTGAAATACGAGAAGTTGAGGTCTTCCAGCTCTGTACCTCCCCAGCCGTGGAGAGCCGTTTTGAAGAGCTCGCCGCACCATGCATTCTGGATGTCTGGTCCACCATTGTGTGTTTTGTTTTTTTTTTCCCGAAGAAGCATGGTTTTACTAAACCCAAACACTCCATGTATGCCACATATGCCTACATTGACCCCCCAAAACCACCCCCATGTAGGCATATATGGCATACATGGAGTGTCTTGCTCAAGATTCAGGGATCAATTCCTTCATTTTTCAAGTCATGAAATCGGAAGGTCATCAGGTTACGGGCCTTCTTTCTAGTCATTGGTTACGGGCCGCAAGAGATGAACTCCCGTGACCCAAACAGATGAACTCCCGGACCGATTGGGCCCTTTTCACCACTCACGAACCGTCCATAAACCGACCACGACTCGTGAGTCTTCCTACGTGACAGGAACTAAAGAGGCACAAGGGAAAGACAATAGGACAAATAATAAGTCAAAAACAATCTCGTCCACAAAGGAAACCGCGTGATTAACGTACCTTCTAATTAATTTGCAAACAAAATAGCAAATAACATAAATGCAAATTACATGTGGACAGCTTTCGTTAATACACCCTACACCTGTTTTATGGTTCTTTCGGGACGCCATCAAACAATAAAGAGTGCCAATCATATTGTTTTTAAATGATCACTAACGGTGAAGAACACATTGTGAGAAGGAAGAAGGACAGGACAGCACTAGTTTTGGTATTTTCTTAAAGGACCATTTGTTGAGCCAATTTTTTCAGAAAGTACGTACCATTTGGGATCAACAAGTATGTCGTTGAACCTGGGCACCCCCCTCCATATAACTGATATCATCGGGTGGATCTGGGGAGTGCCACAGGTGCCAGAGGCCATGTGATTGCCCTGTGCCCAGGGAAACCCGACCCCAGATGCGACGAACGGGACTGCCATAGGACTGCCGAGAAACGGCCAGGGGTGGTGCCAAGGGGGGCGGGAAGCTGTCACCGGAGCTCCTAGGGTCACCCGCATTTTTGGTGGCATAGCTTCCCGCCCTGTCAGTCGGGTCTTATGAAAGTGACCTGAGGACCCAGGTCACCCAGGTCAGCCCATCGAAAGCACATCCGTCACAACCCGAGATGGTGAGCAAACCCCGAGAATCTCGCGCCCACCGCACCGCGGCGTTCCGTGGAGCGTACCGAGTCTGTGGAAGAGCTGTAACTGTAGCTGGTGTGTGTGGGGGGGTGTTTGTGTGTCAACCACAAAAGCTGACCACAAAGGCGAGGTGAACAGACAGTCAGTGTCAGTGGTTGCCGATGTGTCGCTTCCAAAGGGGCCTTCTGGGGCGTTCCTTCGGTAGAACAGAAAGTTACAGATCTGCAGGCTCCGCAGTTCCTCCGCGTGTTCGGCGCACTGCCAGCATCTCTCAAGCGCTGTGCGCATTCCATGGCCAGCACGTTGGAGAAGCCTGCGCGTCGCTTGCTTTCAGAGTTGTTTTAAGCTGCAGGAGTCGGAGTGGGTGCTTGGACACTTTAATGTTGACTGTTGATGATGGGATCCGGGTTTGCTTTGTCCGTTGATGAATAACCCCCCCATATGAGCTTGATTCATCAACAAACTATCAGTCTACATTTTGGGAACTCTAAAGACTTGTGGATGTGGAGGGCGACTCGACCTGTTTTGTCTTCAGGAAAAAGATGTCCTGAGTAATATAGGCTGGCATGCAAGACACGAAGACGCACGACAGCATTCTTAGAGAGTGAGGGTAGTCTCCAGAAACGACTGAGCCATTCTCCAGGATACCTTCACATGACCAACACCTACTGGCTCCTTTGTTGGTTTGTTGAGCCAACTCCAATTCACCAAAAACAACTCCACCACCAGCCGCGCAGGCCCCTCCATTCAAACACCGCGCCGGCGGAACGAGGAGCACAGCGCGCGTTCTGCGGTGCCACGGCTGAGCGCCTGGAAATGCTCCAGCGCTGCACAAGGCCATCGTCTCAGTCTCTTTGGCCTTTTGCTCCATCGCTTCAGCCGCATCCAAGTAGCCTATTTGGAGGCGAAAGCGAGGAAGTCAAAAACTAACCCTTTCACGGGTATCTAGATCGATGTAGATGTATGTATTAATACAGCTCTTCTTGCTGAAGTTGGTCATAGTTGATCATACAAAAACAGTTACTTAATGAGGCGGAGGACCAGGCTTGGACCTGGTCTGTAGGGATTGGATTCCTGGCAGGGCCAAGTGGTGGGGGGTTGTGAAGTGGTGGATCTGCGCCGCACGAGATCGCGACGAGAGCGTGCTATGTCCAAGGAGCTCATGGGGTCTGCCACGTCCACATAGACTGGAATGCGCTCTTGAAGTGCTGCCTTGGTACTAGGCATTGTGTACCATGATAATCCATTCACTATATAATATTTAGCCTTCAAAGAAAATATTGAAATATTGACATATATTGAAATGGTTGACCTGGTTTTGTAATGTAAAATCCTGAGTAAACCAATGGTTGTCCGGTAACGCCTATTAACGTATTAAACCATTGTAGTGAGAGTATGGCCAATGGCAGGCACAAATCCTGTTTGAGGTCGAGTACGGACTTCTATCCAAAAGACATCTTGGGGGTTGTACCATCTACTCTGAAACCACTGCACTGTACATCAACTGATCCACCACAAAATAAGAACAATCACATTGCATTCTGCTACAACAAAGTTAATTTGCTGGCACTATCCCCTTCAAATTAGGCATTTCAGCCTTGGCAACACAGAGTTTGCAAAGCAGCCTCAAAAAAAACAGAAGAAACACAACCTATGGTACGAGTGCAAACCAAACCAATCTAAGATCCCTTAACACATCCGCACTTGAGGAATCTTGAGGACTCAACTCGTGGAATAAGCAGTGCTTGAATATGCTTGAGTTCGGCCACCTGGGGAGTGTTTTCCACCCACCCTGACCGTATTGACTCGTCAACCGGGATCGGATCCGAACTGGAGAAGGTTGACCCGTGAACGACCCGGAGCCAAGCTTTCCTGCCTGAATGGTGCTGAATGCCGAACTGTCCCTAGGCATCCAATCGTACCTTCTCAGGTACGACTGGACCCGAGAACGGCACCTATAAAAAAATGTGCCTCCGATCACCTGAGGTTCGGTACGACTGGATCCCTAGCGGTTGAACCCTGTGTCGACCATCCCAGTTGGGTAGGCCACGAGTCCGGTCATTGGACGGTCGCCGTTATTGAAAAGAACAACGACTGCTGACTGGTGCGACGAAAGTAGGGAATAAGGGAATGAGATGGGAAGTTTCGCCCCCAATAGAGATTCTGGATCCAGCCACCCTCATTCCCTGCGAGTCAGTCGCACCAGTCAGACTGTGTTCTCCAACACAAGAAGCACTGTGCGCCTCCACTCGAAAGGAGATCCACGCGACGGTCTGACGAACGTCCGCCGAACCTCCACCTAGTAGTAACAAGTGCCACGCTACTAGGAACAGGTGCCTTACTAGTAGAAACAAAAAACTACTAGGGGTTCCTGGCCTTACTAGTAGTAACAAGAAGCTATTAGATACAATAAACTATTTGTAACAAGTGCATCGCTAGTAGTAACAAGTGCCACGGTCCGTTCCGCCGTGGGGCTCGCAGCACGGTGGGTTCTCCATCGAAAGGCCCCGCAGTGTGAAGCAGGCCATCGATGCCATCAAAGTGTGAACCTGGACCAACACTTTTCTATACCATGTCAAGATGATTCGTTCATAACCATATTTGTGTGTATTGTTTGTATCTTTTAAAACCGCGAGCTATACACGTGAAAACTGAGTGAAACATGTTGAAACTACACATTTCGCTTGTTTCTGGTGTCATCATGATGCATGTTTGTGGTATGACAAATTGTTCTTTGCAACCGGCAATTTTCAACAGTCACCACCTGTGAAATTGAAATTGAACACTTCCAAAGGAAACGTGTTGGAGGAATCTCCTATTACACCACAGCTGTTCGCGCAATAGCATGTCATGGTGCGCAAACATGAAGCACTCGGTGTTTACCCCAGAACCTCAGGAACCCGCTTTTGCACCCATGAAATTCTTCGGATGATGGCAGATCTTTCCTGTTAGCAGGGTGCTCAACAGTACCAGACCTTTGCTGATGACATAATCCCAACAAGCCCAACATAGTCCAACTTGGGTGTGCATTTTTTTACCGCAGTCGGGCCGGGAAGTTGGAATAGGTGGTATGATTCGAGGGTGTGATTCGGGGTATGATTCGCAGCTTTGAAGTTGTATTGTTGGATTAGTTGGACTTCCAGCAGTGGGCCCACTCTGCGCCGAGGCAGTAGGCAAGCAGCATCTGTTGGATGCTGGTTGGATGCTGGGCAGACCAAAACAACCAGGATGTGGGATGGGTGGGAGACTGTGTGGAGGCGCGTGATTCGGGTATGAATCGGGTGTGGTTCGTTTGGCCATTAGATTCTGCAAAAGAAGGCCGTCCCTTTAAGGGAGAGCACATGGGAACATTATGTTTGCTCTTCCCACAAGAAGACACAAATAATTTTGGACAAATTGAGTGCCCATGGATCACACAATTGCTCATGGACATCTACAAGGCACAAAGACCAACCAAAAACTTCACCTTAACACCTGGTTCTTACGTGTAACGTTCTGAGGGGTATGATTCGGGGGTATGATTCGAGGTATGATTCGAGGGTATGAATCGCTCAAGTCGAACTTCCAACATCAGGAAGTACAGGCCAAAAAAGTACAAACCCACTTAAAGGTTGGGTCACCATGGTGAGTGTCTTATTTTTGTTTTGGAACTGGATGGTCTTGACCCTAAATACATAGCAGGGGTTCTTCTTGACCCTCAAGATCTTCACCTTTGAGGGTGAAGTATCTTTAAGGGTTTTAAGGGTAGTCAAAGGAAGTTTAGTGTGCAAAACTTCCGTGTTACGGGCATTCAACAGCTGTTCAATACACCACTCATCATACACCACTCATCATACACCACTCATCATACA